GGCAGGTAGAGGTACGGAGTTGGGGTTAGAGTTCTGGGTTCAAACTGTCGCGTCCTCTTGGACTACGAATGCCATTTAAATGATCTAAGGTGGTTTCTTCATCTTCCTAAAGGGGTGACCTGCTCACATAAATTATACCTGTAAACACATGCAAAAAGCCTATCACATAAAAGGCACTCAATAAAACTGAAACCCTCCCCCCCCCAATCCCCTCACCTCCCTGTAAAAAAAAAAAATTAATAAAAAACCAGCCGAAGGCTGTCATGAAAACGCAGGCTTTTTCAGGCCACTGGCATTTTCTGAGCTGCCACGTGCTCTCCCCTGCGTATTCTAGACACGCTTCACGGGGAATCAAGCCCACAACGTGAGCATGTGCCCTTGACCGGAATCGAACCCGGGACCCTTCAGTCCGCAGGCCAACACTCTATCCACTGAGCCACACCAGTGAGGGCCTGACAGAACTTATTTACGTCCTTAGTCCTGGCAGGTAGAGGTACGGAGTTGGGGTTAGAGTTCTGGGTTCAAACTGTCGCGTCCTCTTGGACTACGAATGCCATTTAAATGATCTAAGGTGGTTTCTTCATCTTCCTAAAAATTGCTTCAAACTGTCGCGTCCTCTTGGACTACGAATGCCATTTAAAATGATCTAAGTGGTTTCTTCATCTTCCTAAAGGGGTGACCTGCTCACATAAATTATACCTGTAAACACATGCAAAAAGCCTATCACATAAAAGGCACTCAATAAAACTGAAACTCACCCCCATCCCCTCACCTCCCTGTAAAAAAAAAAATTAATAAAAAACCAGCCGAAGGCCATCATGAAAACGCAGGCTTTTTCAGGCCGCTGGCATTTTCTGAGCTGCCACGTCCTCTCCCCTGCGTATTCTAGACACGCTTCCATCACAGCAGGGCTCCATCACATTTAGATAGGATGACATCGCATTTAGATGGGATGGCATCGCATTTAGATAGGATGACATCACATTTAGATGGCATGACATCGCATTTAGATGGGATGACATCGCATTTACATAGGATGACATCACACTTAGATAGGATGACGTCGCATTTAGATAGGATGACATCACATTTAGATGGCATGACATCGCATTTAGATAGGATGACATCACATTTAGATGGCATGACATCGCATTTAGATAGGATGACATCACATTTAGATGGCATGACATCGCATTTAGATAGGATGACATCACATTTAGATGGCATGACATCGCATTTAGATAGGATGACATCACATTTAGATGGCATGACATCGCATTTAGATAGGATGACATCACATTTAGATGGCATGACATCGCATTTAGATAGGATGACATCACATTTAGATGGCATGACATCGCATTTAGATAGGATGACATCACATTTAGATGGCATGACATCGCATTTAGATAGGATGACATCACATTTAGATGGCATGACATCGCATTTAGATAGGATGACATCACATTTAGATGGCATGACATCGCATTTAGATAGGATGACATCGCATTTAGAAGGCATGACATCACATTTAGATAGGATGACATCGCATTTAGATGGCATGACATCACATTTAGATAGGATGACATCACATTGAGATAGGATGGCATCACATTTAGATGGCATGACATCACATTTAGATGGCATGACATCACATTTAGATAGGATGACATCACATTTAGATAGGATGACATCGCATTTAGATGGGATGGCATCGCATTTAGATAGGATGACATCACATTTAAATAGGATGACATCACATTTAAATGGCATGACATCACATTTAGATAGGATGGGAGCTTGTCTGCTCTTCACTCTGTTAAAATATTCTTAGTGCCCTAACCGGTTTGGCTCAGTGGATAGAGCATCAGTCTGCGGACTCAAGGGTCCCAGGTTCAATTCCGGTCAAGGGCATGTACCTTGGTTGCGGGCACGATGTTTCTAACTCTCTCTCCCTCTCCCTTCCTCTCTGTAAAAGAATCAATAAAATACATTAAAAAAAAATTCTTAGACAGCGGCCCGGGGCCCCTGGACAAACGTCCTGACTCGTTTTCGTGGTACAAGGCTTGAAGGAACAGATTAGAGAAGTCATCCAGACAGAGAAGCCAGGAACCGTGTCATTCACAAAGTACTTATTTAAATAAGCAAATGAATTGGAAAAAACGTCTAATTCGCCCAATTATTATCATCTTTTTTTAAAAAAAGATAAATCGTTTTATTAGTATTATCATTATTATTACTTATTGATTTCATTTCTTAAAATATATTTTATTGATTTTTTTACAGAGAGGAAAGGAGAGGGATAGAGAGTTAGAAACATCGATCAGCTGCCTCCCGCACACCTCCTACTGGGGATGTGCCCACAACCCAGGTACATGCCCTTGACCGGAATCGAACCCGGGACCTTTCAGTCCGCAGGCCGATGCTCTATCCACTGAGCCACACCGGTCAGGGCTTCATTGTCATCTTATGGTAAAGAACGGGGCAAAACATTCTACAGCTTCTGGTTCCCTCCCAAGGTCCGGAGAGCTGGCAGGACTTTTCGTTAACAAGCGGGGCTTCCAAGTGAGTTTTAGATGTGACGGCAAGACAAACCTTAGCTTTTTATTTACTTATGTATTAAAAAATAATTTTATTGATTTCAGACAGGAAGGGAGAAATAGAAACATCAATGATGAGAATCACGGATTGTCTGCATCCTGCTCGCCCCCTACTGGGGATCGAGCCCTTAACCCGGGCAGGTGCCCTGACCACCAATCGAACCCGGGACCCTTCAGTCCGCAGGCCGACGCTCTACCCACTGAGCCAAACCGGCCGGGGCGATCCTTAGGTTTTAAAATAATGACCTAACTTCTGTAGGGGGAGGGGGGGCGGAGCTGAATGAAGCCACAGGTCCCCCTAAAACTGTCTGCAAACCTTAACGTTCAAGTACATGGTGCTGAGGAACGGGTGCCAGCACCCCGACACCCTCCATCTGATGAAGCAGCACTAGTCTCAGGGGTGTCGACGCCTCCAAACTGGGGGGTTTTTCAAGCACGTTTCGGCGGTGTCAGAAAAAAATAAAATAATCGTTTTATTGGACCCGAGGCACCCCAACGCCCTGGCGCAGGGGGAAATGGGCAGCAGATCCAGGGACAGGAAGTGAAGCCGCGGGGGAGGAGCCCGGCCCTTAGAGACACGTAAACCCACAAAGGTCCTCGGGGGTTCGAGGCGGAGAAAGGCCGGCGGCGGAACTGCTTAGGGCCCCGAAAGGACCCCGATTCTTGTCCATTTCGAGGCCTGACCGGGCCGTTCACCGGAGGCCACTTACCCTCATGGGGTCGGCGAGGTAGAGCTTCTCGGCCGCGCGACTGAACTCCTCCCAGGTCTGGAACTGCGGCATCGTGGGCCCGCGGCGGAACCGGACAGGGAGGCAAGGCCGGGACCGGAGCGGCGCGACCCGGCCCACCTACCTTCCT